ACTATTTAGTACCTTTACTGTGGTATAAAATGTACGTGAAGACTGTATCTTATTAACACAATTACTTCCCACTTAAGTAATAAATTTTAATTTAGAAAGTACTTTAAATTCATTCAATGTTAACTCGTACTTTTATATTGTCTCCATTGTCATTAGTCTATATGTGCTTCATGTTTGCTCCTTGAAAAGGCTGTCCTAATTTCTTAGAACAGATATACAGATATCCAAGGAATCTTGTGAAAATGTACATTCTGATTCAGTGAGTCTGAGGGGAGGTCTGAGATGCTGCTGGCCTGAAAAGCTCCCAGGCGATGGCAATACTTCTGATTTGAGAATCACATTTTTAGTATCAAGGTCTCTAATCCCTTGAAACTACGAATGCTAATTGAACTCACCTGATTTCTTTGTTGATGGCATCCAGTTGCTCCTGAAGCATCATGGCTAGAGTCTGGGCATCAGAATGACCACTTGGAGAGAGAAGATCCATTGAGCTAAAAATGGTTTCTCTGTCATCATCATCAATATCGGACATTTCAGTGTCACTTTCAAAAGGGTGGCTGCTTAGTACTCCAATCTGTTGAGTTCTACTCCACTCATGGTCCCCAAGAGATTTCACCTGAATGGTAAATGAACAATGTAGAGTATTTATAATAGTGCTCATTTTCGAAGCCTAATCTGAAAAAAAGACAAAAAACAACAACACAAAGCATGCATGCTTTTATATCTGACCTGCCAAAAGCAGAACCAATTATTAACGTTTTAACTTGTTGGTTCAATAAAATAGTTCCTTGACATCTTAAGTAATGGCAGGTATTAATTATCAGCATAAATATCAAGATTTTAATAGAAATAAAGATGATAAACTTCCATATTATTTATGGTTCAATCACATTTCAAGGTAATAATTACTTTAAAGCATCTAAGGAACATTTTTCTTTATTTCCAAACATAACAATCTTTATTTACTTGTACTCAAACATTCACATTTCTTGTACTAATTAGTTTCACCTACATTTTTCTTATTGTAAACTCAAACCACAAATATTATCACACAAGAAATTACACAAGAATTCTCTCCCCAACACTCATTTACATAGATTCTAACAAAATATTATTAAAAATATTGCAAAGTGATTTAATTTCATCTCCACTGCTCTGGTCACTTGAACACCTCATTGATTTTGTTTTAAGCCCAAAGCATGCTAATTTATGTGGTAATATTTTTTAAATTGATATAATAAATCTTCCATTTGAATGAGAGTTTCGAATAACAAATAGACCAATGTTTTTCAAACTGTGATCTGAAGGGATGAGAGGGTTAAACATAAGAGAAGTCCTAGAGTTTTCTGCTTTTTAAAAAATTTGTTTTCATTTCTGTGATCATATAACATGAGTTATATGAAGGACAACATGGTGTATCCCTGAGTACTGATTTAAGAATTGAGGACCTGAATTAACATCTGTGTTACAAATTGTTGTGGTACCAAGTAGCACTAATTTATCTGTTACATAATTATAAGTAAAGAACTGAGATGAACTTAATTAATTCTTCATTTATTCATTTATTTATTCATGCATCCAATAGTTATTGAATGCTTACTATGAGGGATTAATTTATAAATGACATATTGGTGCCAGTTAAAATCCAAAAGATGTCAAGGTCCTGTGTATAAATAAGGACAAACGGGTTTTATGTTTTAGATATATAAAAGTGGTTGGGAAGAACACACTATACTTAGGGGCACATAGGAACTATATTACTTCCCTATAAAATCCAACAACATTACTTAATAAGCATAGCTTAGACATTTTAAGTTGTTGACTGAATGAAAGACTAGCGCTGCAGTTTATCATGAACACTTCTCTATAAACACTTTGAATCATCTACGTACATGTGGCTCAAAGTGTTTTTAAAGTCATTTTAATTAAAATATTTAATTAATTTTAATTAAAAATATGAATGCCATGGCGTAAGTGCCCAAGCAAATCAAAAGTTCATTTGTTTGTCAATACAGCATAATGGTTAAAGCACGGCATTTGAAACCACACAAATATAGGCTCAAGTATTGACTCAACCACTTTGCTAACTGTGTAATGTTAAACACTTAATCATTCTGAGCTTCAATCGTCTTATGTCTGAAATTAATATAA